AAAACCGTTTTGCACTTTTCGGTTTCGGTTCAGTCGTCTACTAAAAAAATCCATTATTATAATAATCATTTGATTGAATAATATATGCATTAATTTTAATTAAATATTTCTAAATGTATATATGCTTAGAATACATATAAACATTTATAATATTATGCAATATTTTTTTTTATTTAACGTTGTAAATATCTAAATTTTATTAAAATATATATACGAAAATTTATAGACATATTAATATCTAAATAATATCTAATCTAAATTATCAAATATAAATGATAATTTTGAAAATTAGTTATTTTAAAGTTTAAGGTTACAATTTATTTTTATTATTATTTTTTTGCATCATTATTATAAAATTTTATATTAATATTTCAAAATTTGTTTTATTTTATATTTGTTAAAAATTATATTATTTTGTATTATTTTATTTAAACATTTATACATATATAATTTTTGTTTTCATTATATTGATTATTGTAATAAATATAAAAAAACGTTTTATAGATAATTTTCTAAATATTTTCCACTTGTTAACTAATAAATGTTATGCATTTTACAAATTATTTATACAATAAATACTATTAAATTTATTTATATATTATTTTTTTTATAAATATTTATACAAGTTCATTTTTTTAGTAAAATCTATTATTAAATGTACCTAATAATGTAAAAAAAAATTATTAAAATTTATTATAAACGTTTATAATTGTTACATGGAAAACTTATTAATAAAAATATATAAATAAATATATTATAATAGATAATAATAAGTATTTATTGTCATTGATAAAATAGAAATGCAACAATAAAAATAAATTAGTTTTTTATTTTTTTATTTGAATAATAGATAAAAACATTTATAGATATACAATTTTTATGTTTTATATTTTTTTATTATCTTTACATTCAATTTATGCATAATTATTGAGTAAAAAATAATTATTGAAATCATAGTATGTAATAATAATTATAATATAATAACACAAAATTGCATTTTTATTCAATAACTTTATGTTTATTACAATATTCAGATATAATATTATATGCATAATATACTAATAATTTTAATATCTTTGATGAAAACTTATATTTCAAACAAATTTTAATATGTTTTATAAATACTATAAGTAGTGAAAAATAAAATAAATACTTGTTTAGTTATTAGTTTATGTTAATTAAATTTTTTAATATATAGATAACATAATCAAAGATTTTGAATATAAATAAATAAAGCCTAAGGTTTCAATTGAATTATAAAATTTACGCTAAAATGTCATTTTTACTAAAAATTTTAATTAATAAAAATATCAACATTTGACATTTAAAAAAATAATATTTATAAATTTAAAATATATTCATTCAAATAATTTTTTAAAATACATTTAAGGATTAATGTTAATATTATAGTTTAAAATTAAATTATAATAAAATAAATTTTTGTTTAATTTGCTTAAAATATATACTTTATAACAATAAGTCATAATAATAATTATAATTCGTTAAAATACAGTATACTTTATTACATCAGACTAATGGGTGTTTTAAAACAATCAAATAAAAACTAACATTAAATAAAACAATAATCTAATAGTACATAAAATTTAACAAAAGTATTATTATTATTATTATAAATAATATCATAATATAATTATTTATATGAAATCTAGGGATAGTATTAAGGAAGTCATTACCGGATTTTTAAATAAAACCGTTAAATGAACCGTTAGTTTTTGAGATACAAATATTTTATGCAATATTTTTGTTATGTTTTTAATATATAAATATTTTATACTTATATTTTTATGTTTATGTAATATTATTATTATATTATGTTTATGAATACTGTATAAACAAAATTATTTATAATACTGTATGTTTCAATATATAGATTATAATATACTGTACTTTCCTGTAAAATATAAACTTTATAATATAAATAAATATAAATGAAAATGTTTTTATATGTTTTTTTATGTATTTATTGATTATCATTAGAGATGGGCAAATAGAAAAATTCTACTAAATTTCCCTAAGAAAATTTCTAGAAAGTATCTTATAAATAAATTTTTATAGAAATTTTACTTTATTGTCATACAATGGGATCTCTATATAAAGTTAATGTAATACTCTATTATTGATAAATAATATAAACATTACTATTATATAAATGGGATCTCTGTATTTAAAATTAATAAAAATAATGTTATTAGTTATTATTAATAAATATATATTTTAACAAAAATTGATATAAAACAAAATTAACATGGGGATCCTATAGACAGAAATCTCTTTTAGAAACTTTCTAGAAATTTGTCAGTTATTTTAGAAATTTTTCTTTTTTGCCAACACTAATTATAATAGACGCCTACACCATATGCACTTAATAAATAAATATTTTCAAGTTTATTTTCAATAATATTTATATATATATTTACCTGTATATAATTTTTTCATGTATAATAATTATTATAAAATATATTATAATTTTATTATATAAGCTAATAATTACTGTATTATGAGTGTGTGTTTGTGTGTTATTTTAATATTAATATAAAATAATTACGTTTTATGAATATAAATACATATTATGAATAATATCAAACATTTTCTTTATAATTTTTATCAAAATTATTTGAATATAAATTATTGCAAACATAACTACTGCATACTATAATATAGACTTTTAATTTTTTAAAATGATTATCATGTTTACACATTTTATTAATAAATTTTATAATTTATAATACATATTCATATATTTGTAAATAATCAGAAATGAACTTCAAGTCTGTTATATTATTTTTATTAAATTATTTGTTTTGAGTTTATTAGCAATAATTTTATGTATAAATTATAATTAAATTTTAAAACTTTAATTAGATTTTTTAAAAAAATAATTACGCCGTGTTCATTAAGTAATTACATATTATATTAAATATTGAAATTTTAAAACTTAGTTTAATTAATTTTTTACAATTTAATATTGACTAAAATGTAGTTTTACCTAAATATTAATATTATACAGGATTTACTGTTATATATATATATACCGGAATATACACAGTGTTATATGTACTGTGCATGTATTGTACATTATTTGAAAGCAGATTAATTAGAAATATTTTTGTAAAATAAATTTTGTCGTAACAAACAAACAAAAAAAACACAAAAACAAACGACTAAAACACACATTTTATTGGCATTAATATTGAAATATATTGTTATATATTGTATAAAATAATATATAAATTTCAATTTTGTTTCCTTTTTCTCGTATTTCTCAATATATAAGCCTTTTAAGCAAAATAATAGTATTGATAAGAATATATATATCCAACAATTGGCTAACTATAACATGTGTGCGCATACATACTCTCTTTCTTTCTCTCTCTCTCTCTCTCTCACACACACACACACATACATACACATATACACACACACACATACATACACACACATACATACACACACACATACATACACACACGCACAAACATTTTTAACAATCTTTTTATGTGTGTGCAAAACTCTATCAAACAAACTGCCGGTGCCGTTGACTGTATGAACCGATAGTCTAGTGTTTTGCTCACTCATCTTCATTCACACACCACATAAAAATCTTCATTCATAGGCATCGGTTGCCGACAACGAGGGAGAGAAAAAAAAGAGAGAAAAGAGAGAGAGAAAAAAAACTCTTGTGTTGTCTAACAAACAAATTCACAGAATATTCTTTGACTACAAATAACTTTTTGTATACAGAATTTCAGTCAATGTGTTCATACATACTATGAAAATGTTATGTTTGTGTTATATTTATGGTATGAGTTTTGTTTGTGAGAGTGTGTCTGTATCTGACTATTAAAATATTATAAGCGATGATTAGATAGTCAGTCACTGATGAGTTGTGCTCAGAGTTGGTTATAAACTGTAAGTGTATTATCAATGTCTATCACACAGTGAATGTATTCATCATTTAAATATATATATATTTATTTTGTTTGTTTGAATTAATCCATCAATCAGTTTAATCTTGAAAACTACAATATTTATGTTAAATTTATAAAATATTCATGTCTAAATAATAATAATAATAAAAAAAGAATATTTAATGGTAAATAAATTATTAATATAATAATAATAAATATTATATATTAATTACAACTAAATATTATAATATTTACTTAAGTAATATTTTATTACATTCAAGTTATATGCGCTTTACGTAAGTTATTTTTTAAAAAAAACATTATTATTTATTTAATAAATGTGCTAATTATGTTACATTAAAAATTTATGTTAAATATTTAAATATCTTTATTTGTAAACTTTGTTTATTCATACTATTTACATTATTTACATTAAAATAAACAACATGAAAAATTATATTTGTTTTAAAATTAAAGCTAGTATTTTGTATAAAAAAATACTTAAAAAATAAAGTTTCAAAAATATTTTTTTTCTTCTAAATTGCTCTAAATTTTCTAAGTGCTATAATTAACAAATAATTTAAAAACAATTAAGACATTTTGTTTCAATTACTTAAAAAGTTATATTTTGTTATTAAAATGAAAAAAATTATTAACATATAATTTGACTCAATTTAAGCTTTAATATAAATAAATAATAACAATAAAATTGTGAATTGCGAAATAAATATAATTTACCAAAAAAAATATAATACATCGGCAAATTAAACAACAATTATGAAAAAATCTGCGAAATTTGATACAAAAATAACAGTTTGTTTGCTCATCAAAAAAACAATATATTATTTAATACATCTGATCTCAATTGCAAAAGCAAACACATATAAAATTAAATAAATAAAAAAATACAGTAACTTATGAAAAGAATTGATATTATATTGTCTTTTAATATTTGCTTATTTGTCTAAACTGTCCAAAAAAGTAGTTTATAATAATTATATATATAATAATAATAATAATAATAATATTAATAATATTAACAATAACTATAGCGATAATAATAATAATAAAATGACAAATAATTTTGTCAATAAAACGTTAAGACATGTTGTGACGGACACTAACAGCTCATACACTTTGGCGCCATTTGACGACAGATTGATGCAAGAGTTGGTCAGCGCCGGCATAAATGGTCGACATCTTGGCGTAGACCTGAATACCGGTGCCGAACATCAAGATCTGGACGACTATATCGCCTCTCTGTGCAACCTATCGTTTGGCTGCTATTTGCGGCACTCCATCACATGGACCATAGCCTACCTGATAGCCTATATAATAGTGTTTCTCATCGGACTAATCGGCAACCTATCGGTGCTTTGGATAATCTATGCGTTACGCAAACAGACTAACAGTTCGGTGTCCGTATCGTCCAATAAAGTCTTTTACCGATTTGTCGGTAATCTGGCGTTGGCCGACCTATTGGTTGTTTTGTTTTGTTTGCCGCCGACACTAATTGGAAATATTTTTGGCCGTAAGTAATGTTAAAATAACTAACATTTTATTTTTGATTTAGTATTTTAATATTATTAAAAGCAAACTTTAGTTGAATTAATTCAATAAATAAAACACACCATTGAAATGATGTTCACGTTTTTGTTGTTTCAATGTTTAATGTAAAGTTTAGCACAAAAATTTACACATCATTTGATGACAGTAATAATAATACACACTTTTTTATAGTTTTTATTGAATTTGGATTTTTTTTCTATATTTAGATATAATATATATTATAAAAATAATATTTTAATAAAATATTAAAGTTTATATATATATTAATCTAAAATATTTAATGTTATATACGGTAGGTTGCTAATAAAATAAGTTTAAAGTAAACAAAAATTTTGATTTAATATTTTATTATTATTTTTTAATATATAATATATTTTTAAATATGTTTATTAAGAATAAAACTTTTTATGAATAATTTTTTTTATAGTATTGAATGTATTATATTGAGCTAATAATGTAAATATACCATAGATTTGATAAATTTTTATTTATAGAATTTTTTTTAATATTCTAAAATAAATTTTTTAAAAGTTAATATTAATATTTACCTGATTATAATTATTACACATATTAAAAATCTAAAAATAATTTATTTTTAATATATAGCAATTAATTACTTTTTTTATTTATCTAATATTCCAAGTTTTTTATTTGATTATATTTTTAAACATTGAAAACATACTAGTAATGAATTATTAATTAATAATTTTTACAAATAAATAATAATAGGATAAAAATAAATATTTTTTAATTAATATAATTTGCTATTAATAAAGTTTTATGATTATTTATTTGAAACCCTAGTTACATTCAAAAAATAAATAATAATAAAAATGATACGCAAATTGTAGTTCACATAACTAACAATAAATTTTATTTGCTTATTAAAACATATATTTTTAATTGTTTAATTTAATTTATTGATCAAAATTTTTGACAAAATTTCAGTATATTGACCTAGACCTAGCTAAATATTTTATTATAAGTTATAATTTATAACTGTGTGTCCTAAAAATAAACTACGTGAAATATTTTAATTAAAAAAAATCATCATTAATCACTAAATTCATCTAACTCAAAAAACAAAATCATTTATTGGTTAACCACTCAACTATTCATATAATACATTTATATATATATATTTAGTATCAAAATGTTATATACTGGCCAATTGTTTTAGTTTTTTGTATCATAAATATTAATAATGACATCAATGTAATCCGAGTCACTATCAATATTTTATATGTTTTAAATTGATAAAATTTATTTATTAGATTTTACTAAAATATTTATAGAATTTTTATAGAAAAAAAATATTTAATTTAAACTAAATTTTTAAAAATTAAATAAAATATATATTGAATCAATCTTACGGTAATCTTCGAGTATTATTATTATTATTATTGTATTTATTGTATTAAACAGACATCCGATTTATTGATGAAATTTTATCTCCCATTCCGAGGATTAATGGATACATTAATAGAAAAGTAGATATCATTAATAACTTTACACAAAGTTTATAGCCCTAGAGTTTATAGATATGAAACCTGATTGTAAGTCCATTGTATATTATATAACGTAAATATAAACTTAAATTTTATATATACAAACATTATAGTATATCACAACAATTCATATCATATAACAATGAAAGTGCAGTCAAATACCTTTTAAAAGCATTTTGTGTGTTAAGGACTTAAAAACATAACTGAGAAAAATGTTTGGATTAGTTATTGATATTATCCCACACATAGTGTACATAACGTATACAATACCAATACATGACTATACAGTATTTATAAAAATTATATACAGTTTACTGTATTATATAAAAATACAATATAATATAGATTCTGTATACTATATATATATAGACTATTAAAAAATATATGCTTATAAAAACTTGTTATTAACTAATCACTGGATTTTGTTATTATCCGTTAAATAATCTTAAAATATATTTATGTGCTATGAATTTGACACTAAAACAATATATATATATAACTACGTGTCGGGCGTTAAATTGATTTTGTATTGTAATAAAGTAAAAAAAAGTGTTAGTTTTGGTTGTTTATGTCGATTAATTTAATCATTTAACAGTATATTTGCATAAAATATACTTTTTCGTTGCGAAAATTGGTTTTATCAACTATTTTAGCAATTTTCTAGAAAACAATAATTTTATTTTTAAAACATTTAATGACTTATTTGCTATGTTTAACATTGTTTAAAGTTTTAAAATCATTACCATTAAATAGAAATTTGATCCCTCAGACAATCCCTTTAAAACCCATTCAAAATATTGTATTTTCTAATATATCAATATATGTATATATATATTCAGTATAATATACGGTATAAATGTATAAAATCTATTCAATAATTACAACAACAACAAAATATTTCATGTGTTTAAAAGCATTTTTTGAAAGCCTATTGTTGTGTAAAAAAGGGAATTTATTTTTATATTTCTCTCTACGCTATGTTAACTGTCAGGAAATTATTTATCAATTTTATTATTATTTATAACATATTATTTTATATACGTATTTATTGTAATACAGTAGAATCCCTTGTAATAATCTAATATATATTTTTAATGGGGATTTAATGCCAATAAGTTTAATAATGTACAGAACATTATGTTTATACATTCAGAATATTCTTAAACAGATATATATATATAAATAACAAAAACAAAAAAAATCTAACAAATTCTTTACTAAATTATTATTTTATAAGCATTATTAACATAAGTAAATAATTCAATAGTCAAGGATTTGGAAAACTACCTAATAGTTTATATGATATTAAACATTATTTCAGTTAGACATGTATATGATATGTACTTAAACAAAATGTAAATGTATATTACATTTATTGTATAGTATTGCATTTGTATTATATAGTTATAGTATTATATAGTTTGAAAAAAGTGATTATTTATTTATGAAAATGTTTGAAACCTTTTTTTTAAATATATGATATGATAATAATTTCATACTTTTTTAAACAATGCATTAAAAACACAAAAAGAGTTCATTCACACCCACACTGACATTGATTTTAATATATATCAAAAACATAGTGTATAACCAAAAACAACAAAAAAAAGAGTAGAAAAAGAGTATAAAAGTAAATCAATTCAATAGATAAATGGTATAATTAATTGACACATTGTGTGTGTATTTAATCACAACGATATCAAATATATGGTAACAACAAATAATAGCTATGAAAACATATTTTTCCATAAAATTTATTTTCTCACATTTCTTTCACATTAGTTATATATATATATACAGTATATCTATATATATCTAACCTTTTCTTAATATTTTCTTTCTTTCTTTTTATATGCCATTCATTTACTTTCTCATCGATGATCTATAGCTTGGCTTTTGGGTCGTTTCATCTGTAAAGCCGTTCCCTATCTTCAGGGCGTATCGGTTAACGCTTCGGTGTATACATTAGTGGCCATATCTATAGACAGGTCAGTCCCCGTTTGATTATCACTATATTATTATATACATTTTATTTATATACTACTATTATACACAATATATCCTTTTTCTATTATGATAAATTATATAAGACTCTATAAGGTATATAAGGTATATATATATATATTATTTTCACTCCTATTTATTCACTTAACCAACATTGTTATCTCACTGTCGGTGTGTGTGTGTGTGTGTGTGTGTGTGTGTGTGTGTGTGTGTGTGTGTGTCTGTAAGGTTAGGCCTACCTAATAGTCTTTTGAAATCAAATTTTACACACAAATAAAATGCCGTTTGTGTGGCACAACATCACGTTTGTTGGCGTCACTAATACATGTATAGTACAGTTTATAGTGTTATTACTACTATAGTAGAAAAGAGATAAAGGTCCCTGAACTTAATCCTTCTATATCATCACTTATTGTTTCAGTAAATATACTTTTATATTGAAAAAAGTGTATAAATATTATTAAATGCAATACAAAGAATATATATATACAATATAAAGTAAAACAATTCAAATTTAATACAAGAATATTCTTTCAATGTTTTATTCCAATATAACTACTGTATTATATATTTCTATACAGAGTTTTGTGTACAATATATGCACCATATGTTATGTTATACTTTTTATAAAGTTTATATAATATATTGTATGATTTATACAATAAGACTACCGTATATTTTTAGTGGACAACAATTCAATTTGTTGTTTGACTTTATGTTTCATACATTTCATTACAAATGTTATGTTCAATGCATTTCTTTGCCAACTATTTTCTAACTCTATGTCGACTCCAATATATGGATTCAATTCATAAATTCTGAACACATTTTTCATTACTTATATTCTAGTCTTTACTCTCATTAATAAACTATAAAATAGTTGTATAAATCTATTTATGATTGTAAGATAGATCCTTCACTTTATATTAATAAAAATAATAATTTTTATTATTAAGTTATTTATTTTCTTATTAAAAATAGACTACCAGTATTTATATAAATAATTTATAATAATAATTTAGTTAAATTAAAGATTTTATTGAAAGAAAATTAATATTTTATAATATTATATTTTTAATAATATCATTAATAATAATAGATAATTACCGGTTAAAATTAATTATTTCTATAAATAAATAATATTATTAAAAATATAATAAAATTAAAATATATAAAAGTTTTGTTTATTAATATTAATATAGTATTTAAGTTTGATTAATTATATCAACTATAATTATTGTACATAAAATTAATAATAATATTTATTATAGATACGATATTTATAAATTATTTTATATAATTGTTACTATATCTTTATATTATTTGTTCAATAAATATATAAATAAGATTAATATATAAAAATTTGAACACGAATTTAATTATCAAAAAATAGTTGATAAAATCTCAACAAAAATCTAATTAAAATACTGCTTTTAACGTCATAATTATATTTATTACAATTGTTTATTGTTTATGTATTATTGATGTCTGCACTAAATATTGTATAAATGTATAAATATATTACTTAAACGCTATTTCAAAGTTAGACATTAAAATGAATGTTTGTTTTTGGACACTAAAATTTGGGTTAAATTAATTAATTTTTACTTTATTTAGCATTTGCTAAGCGATAAACTAAATAAAAATAAAATTATATATATATATATAACCAAAACAATTTTGACACCAACACAAACTTCTTAATTATTTTGATTGAATTTTATATAAACACAGATAGACAACAAACTTATTTAATTAAATAATTTTTTTTGTTAATTAAAAAAATATATTTTTATTAAGTAACAGAAATTTAATTTATATGTTTCAGTGGAAAAATCTAAATTATTTGATTATTATATACTATGAATTTGCAATTTTATAGTTTATATTCAAAATTTTGCAATTACTAAAACTTTGATTATATACTAAAGTATACAATAAGTTATATATAAATTGGTTTGAAGTGTTGCCAAATATAAAATATAAAACAACACAAAAAAATGTTTTTTTTATACAAAAGTTTATACAGAATATTCAGTTTTTGTATGCAAATAATTTATATTATTAAAATGTTTTTTATTGTTATATATATATATTTTGAGACACAGATTATTCCCATAGATTAGACATAAGCTATTTTCCCATACAATGAATATAAAAAATAAGATTAATTAATGTGTGACATAACTTGAGGTTAGATATTTGCATTTTGTTAAGATTTATTTATGCATTTTACTGTATATATTATGTATTTTAATCAGATTATACTTTAATGAATAGCATAATTGATTGTTTTTTATATGATTAAAACACAATATATTTTATTATATATTTATATAGTATGTTACCTAATAATATATATTATTCAAAAGAAATTGTATCTTCAAATGAAAAATTATATTTACTTTTATTTTGAACTTAAGTTTTACCGACAAAAGTTTATTTATATTATTTTAATTAAATGTTATTTTTTTAAACAATTATTTTCTTTTAAAACTATTATTATTATTATTATTTTATTCATGACTAAAATTAGATTTGATTAGTGCACTGGGAGATTTTTTTATTGCCTTATATTACTGTATATTACAAATATTGCATCCAATAATATTAAACTACTGTATATCTGTTGATAACAACAATAGAGTAATAGAGTATTTGAGACAAACACATACATAAACACACACACACACACACACACACACACACACACACACACACACACAYACATACATACATACATACATACATACATACATATATACATACATACAAATAGATATATAGTATTAGTGAAATTGGCAATAAACAACAATGCATAACACATAGCTTTTAGGTAAATGGCAATATAATTGCATGCTTAGCACAAATTTGAAGTTTCAATAATGAGATACACAGTCAATATAAACTTAAGCAGATGCTATACATTTGATTGTTATAGATTGTATATATATATATTCAATATACAGTATATAAGGAACAGTATGCCAATTGTAAGGGTGCTGTCGGCAATTTTCATTCAAATACATTGCATTTAATTATAGTAATGTTCCGACAGTAAACAGTAACACACATATACAGTACATAGTGACACAAAATTTATTCATTTAAATCGGACAGTTTATTTTTGTCTTACTTTTATCTATATTATTGGCTAAATGGTATTACATTCCCATATTGCTAACCATTACTGATGGACATTAAGTAGTCGTGTCTTGTGTTTTATAAAATAATATAAATATAAATATATCGACTATTTCTCTCTCTCTCAATAATAGTAAAGAATCTTCACATACCAGTACATTATGGGGTAATTCCTACGGGGGATAGCCATAAGATTTACAAAACAAATAACTGTATATTTATATTATTGGATATTTTATTTAGTTTTTTTCTAAACATAGTTCTAAACATATTTTGTAGGTTTTCCTCTTTTATTATTATTATTATTATTATTTTCTTTTAAGAATATACTTATATATATATATATATAATGTTTTTAGGAATAAAAGTATTATTACTGCAAATCAAGTGAATCTATATTTTTAAAGTCTATTTTCGTTTTTATTTTTCTTTCATTTTGTGTCAGAAAATATTTACAAAAAATCAAAACCAGAAAACGGTTTTTTTGTTATAATTCTAATAATTTGCTGACTTTTATATCAGAAAAAATATCAGTCACTAATAACAATACTAATAATAAATAATAATAGTTACAAACATCAAAATGTTTTATTATTAAATAAATTAGCAATTATAATATATTTTTTATGCAAATATATTTATATTCAACATAATCTTTGATACTATAACTAATTACAATTATATAAAATTAAATTTTAATTTTTTTTTTAACTTATTGTAAGTTATAAAAAATCAATATTGTTTGTGAAGCGGATGTTTACTTTATTTAATCAGAAAAAAATAAAATAATGTATTATATTTAAGATCAATAAAAAAATTGTTTAGAAATCTATTTATATATTTTAATAAATAATATCATACATTGAATTCAATTTCACTTTTCTAATCATTTATATTTCCTGTTATGTAACACATGTTGTTTTTCATGAATATCTATTGATATAATCATCTTTTATTTTGAATGTTAGCAAAATAGATAATGCTCTTTAAGTCATTACATAAGATATTGATATTTTATATATATATATATATATATTATAATATCATATTTATATTATAATACGGTATATACATATATATTATCTAATCAATTAAATTATATGCAATAACATGACATAACATATTGCTCCAGTGATGTCTTATTTAGTTATATACTATTTGATTATAAGTTTTATTTTTATTTTTATTTTGATTATCAAAACCAACAACTGATGAATTGTTTCTGGTATTAAACATTTGGACAGTTAGTTTGGTTTTGTTGTTGTTGGGTCTGATTATAGTTATAATATGATGTGTGTGTGTGTGTGTGTGTGTGTGTGTGTGTGTTTGTACGGGCTTTTTATTTTTTATTGATATATGAATAGATATTTTCATTGAAATGTTAGATAACAAAATTGAAAAAATAATAATAATGTATAGACTATTCAATAGTCTGTGTTGTTGTTGTTGATATAATTTATATATTATAATAATATCTGTTTAACGTCAAAGTAATATTAGGCAATCATATAATAATAATAATAATAATAATAATAATAATAATAATAATAATAATAATAATAATAATAATAATAATAATAATAATAATAATACCTTTTAAACATTTTGCTTAACAACAATTATTGTAGTCTCAGTTGTTTTTTATTGTTTTTTATTAGACAATAATTAGCAATTGATTTGGTAATCAATAGATAACAAAGGATAAGTAGGAAAAAAGATATTAAAAACTAATACTTGATATTACAGTATTATATTAATAGTAGAGTAATATCTTTATATCGTATATACAATTTATTTATATACAATATATACTGATATACTATATTTATATATATATATCGTATATAGACTTTAGTTGTATTAATATTAAATGCTTTCTATGAATGAGTTTTAATACCCGAGGTTTTCATGGACTGATGGGTCGGACATTAGTCGCGCACAAAGTTATCAGACAAACCATAATATCTTTTATTGCTTACTCACCCATTCAGTCATTTACTCACCCACTATATTGATTGCCTTTAAGTTGTATTTATATTTTCAATTATTAACTAGAAAAATGTTATATAAGTGTTTAGATTTAATTTTAAATCACTATTCAAAATATAAATAAATACATAAATAAAATTTTAATAAAAAACAGATTATCTTTTAATAAGTATAATTAACTAATATGTTAAACTCGAATATTAAATATTTTTTTAATCATACTTCAAGCTTGAAACTTGAAACACATTAAATAGTTTTGATATAAAGTACAGTGAAATTATTAAATTATTGCTAAATGTTATTAATGCGTGATATCATTGAACTACACTATACTGTAGTTTATATTAACAACTAGTGGACAATATTAAATATTTAACATCACGTGACGTTATTATTAATACCATATACTTGCATAATAAAAAAGTGTGTGATTGTAAATTATATTAAATGTTTTATTTAAATGTGACTGATCACACATACACACACACACACGCACACACACACACATATATATATATATATATATATATATAAACACACATACACATACACACTTATATATAATACATATATAACTTACTACTACTATTACATTACTATTATTACTATACTACTACTACTATAATAGCATTATATTAATATAAATATATGGAGACAAATGGCAATAACAAATAATAAAAAATATCCGAAATCACATAACGTGATACAATTTTTCATACAAATAGATTTATATTCAACAAACAAAAAACAAAACAAAAAAAACATATTTTATTAGATCCCTGACCTCAAGTGTGCGCACAGTTATCCCTATCTCATCCCTATTTATTTTGATTTATTTGTTTCTTTTTGATTATTTTTATTTTGGTAAAATCAAGTTTATATATATTTATACATATATAGTATTATTTTTTTTTAAATCGTGTTTTATCTGTATTTTTACTTATTTAATATTAGGTGCTATATCTTAACAATATAATAGATTTTTACAAAATGTTACTATTGATGGTGTAAATTTAATTATATTATTATTAAATTGAAATTTACAAGTTTTTTTGGTAATTTAAGTTACGACGATTTTATTTTTGCAAATTGATAATTGTTTATTTTTAGAAAATAAACCACATAGATATCAATAATAAAACCAATTTTTATTGTTTTTTATTGTAAACAATTTGCTGACATTGTTGAAATAAAAACTATTTATTGGATTGAATAAATAAAAAAATATATTTATATATAAAAACACAAGTGAATTGAATAAAAAATAAAAATGACCTAAAATTTTGTTATTTCATTTGTATTTATTGCTGATGAGATAAATAAAATAAACTTTTTTATGCAATTGTGTGTTAAATCAATTATTGATACTTAAAGTAAATGATTTATTTTCTTATTTAATTTGATATTGAGATTTATTTACACATCTAGACATTAGGTTTTATTTTTTATACAATATATCACAAGAAAACATGTTTATAATATTAAATCTATATTTATTTAAATATTTTTTATATTTTTACAAAATTTAATTTAATACTGTAATATTTTTAATAATTAATTTTATTATTAATAACGTTTTTAATTATAAATTTCAATCGTAAGTTAGTATACAGTATACTGTAATATGAATATAACTTATGTTTAAAATGTTTGTATATATGTTTGCATATGGTTAGTGCATATCAATAATATTTAATATTTCAAATATGTAATACTAAAAGATAATACTATAATTTTATAAATTATAAATATGTCTTAAAAACATATGCTTTATTATTATATTATAATAATATTACAATAACATAATAAAAATAGACATAAAAATATAACTTAATATAATACTATTATTTTAAATATCAATATTGTACTTATACTTAATATTTTAAATATTAAACTTTAAATTTTTAAATCTTTCGTTCAAATCTGATTTAATAAAATTTAAAATAAATCGATATATATATATAAAATATTTAAAAATATATATAACAACATTAGTATAAAATAAAACTAGTTTTTATAAAAACAAAATAATAAACCTTATTTTGTTGAGTTTGAAATAACTTTAAAATTTATAAAGTTTTCAATATATAAAACAAAATTTTTATTACGTCAATATATTTATTGCCCAAACATATTGTTTAAATTATTAAATATATACTTTATTTTTTTTGTCTTTTCAAAAATAACAAACAGATTTTACGCCATATATTACCCATTGGGCCGTAAATGTGGCAAAAACTTGTGCCGTATTGTTATAACACTTATATGGATCCTATCGTTTGGCGTGTCGTTCCCGTGGCTCATATACTTTGAATTGATGCCAATGTTTACTGAAAAGTACACCGAATTACAGGTTATTATTATTATTATTAAATTTTATCTCAATTGTTATTTTTTATTATTATTATTATTTTATCTGAATTTTATCTATAATCATATTAAAAACATTTCATTACTATACAATTAGTAAAGATAAAATATAATTAATTAATTTACGTCCAATTAATGTCTAAAATAAAAGTTTATTATACAGATATCCAGCTGTTAAATAGCTGATTGATATAAAACTTAGATATATATATATATAATTTTTTTTATATATATATATATAATATAAAATGTTTGTTTTTTGTTTTTATTTTTATGTGTATTAATATTAGCTTCAATTATATAATATTGTTTTTGTGTCTCTTATCGTTATGTTATGTGTCAAAAGCGACAATTTTTTTCAATAACTAAACTAAAACAAAACAACAACAAAAATCATTACATTAAATGCCAAAACCATATGTCGTGAGCGGAATTAATAGATTGTATCAAGGTTAACTAATAATATTATCTACATATTAAACTGGTATAATAACCTTTTATGTATTAAAAAATGTAATGTTCAAACATACAAATTAATTTATGAATTTTTTTGTTCGGTAAAAAAATTTTTTATCATACAATTTCATATTTTATTAACAACAGTATATTCTGTATAAATAGTGAATTTTTTTTATAATATAATAGTTTTTTTGTTGCATTATTAAAATTCACGTCACAATTGACAATAGAGTTAATAATCTAATTATATTTTAGTGTTTTTTTAGCAGTTGTTGTTTTTCAGGCATTTTTTTGTGGAAATATATTTTGTTTTAAATGTAATTCTATTATTATATAAACATTTTTCATTTATTAAATTATTTAGTTATATTCAAACAATTTTCAAATCACACACATATATACACAAACTAGTGTTGACAAAAAAGATAAATTTCTAATATAATTGATAAATTTCTAGAAAGTTTCACAATAAAAAGATATTTCTGTCAAAATTATTCAATTAATAAAATATTTAATAAAATTATTAACAAATTTTATATTATAACTATGTATAATAACTTTATTTTATTAATTTTTAAATATAAAAATCCCATTTTCTATAATAGTAATGTGTATATTATTTATCAATAATACAGTATTACAATAACTTTATATGAAGATCCCATAGTATATCAATAAAGTAAAATTCCTATAGAAAATTATTTCTGAAAAACCTTATAGAAATTTTCTTAGGGAAATTTATTAGAAATTTTCTATTTGCCCATTTCTAACACACATACACACAAACACACAAACTCATTGACTGATAATATAATAAAATAATTTCATACAATAATAATAATAATAATAATAATAATAATAATAATAATAATAATAATAATGTTTTTTACTGTTAAGTTATGTGCAGTTGTTTGTGTCAGTCAGTCATCACTAACCGTATAAATGAGTCCCAAGTGAATCATTTCAACTAATAAAATGAAGAAATCAATTGACATAACTATTAAAAACATTTTTACTTTCATTTTTTTGAGTCTAATAATAATAAAAACTTTTTTTTTAGTCTTCTTTCAATACTTTATTGACCCACAAATGATGACATTATAAGAGATACACTATTAGGTACTTGAACTCAGTTTTAGATTTATATATTGAAATAAAGATAAATATAAATAAACAAATAAATGCAGTATTTTTTGTAGTTAATGACTATTAAAACGTAAATTGCTAGTGAATTATAATTATATGATATTAACTAATAAATTATTTATTTCACTTAAGTTTTTACTTATTTATATTATTTATTTTAACATTTAATAAGTATATTGTTACAAAATATAAAGTTATAATTTTGTTGATTCATTTGATTTATATGTATCTATATTAATATTGTTAAGTGAAATCTAATATTTATCATAATATGAAATTTTATTGTCTAACTTATAGTAAACACAAAATATATAATATTATATTAGAGAAAAACTTATTCAATATTTATAAATAGCAACAACAAAATATAATAAAAAATATATATATATATTGTTTTTATTTGTAGGGTTTTATTGTATTTGCGAAATATTTGACAGTAATGGTCACTTAGTAATATACATTTATTAACAAAATTAATGTCAGCTTAGAGCTAATAAAATTAAAATTTATTACAAATTTATTGGTTGTCAATGAAATTTATATATTAGTTGTTTTTTATTGTGGATAAAATTAGTTAAATACAATTCTAGGAAATCATATCAAAATTAAAATATAAATAATAAGGGCCCAAAATAATTAAGATTTAATGGTATTTAATTAAGGTTAAATTAGTAAATAGCATAAAATGCATATATTTTAAATGATAATATATTATAGTTAAATAATAAATATACTATAATTTTAGCAATACAATAATTAAAGCATAATTGTTGCTAGGCAATAAACAATTACTTTATTATAGTTAGTTTATATACTTAATGATAATATTTAATTACAGATAAATATTTAAATTATTAACAGTTAATAATTAAGATCAAATTATATACTTTTATTACTATAAGTTATACAGTAAATGTTTATAAATATTTTATTAATTAAGCCTATATTGTATTAACCAATGTTGATATACATTAAATTTTATTTTTAGAAATTTTATTAATTAAATAAGAAAATAACCAAAAATTTTATTTTTATTATAAATGATTTATTTATTTACATTATTATTGTATGTATTTATATTTGTTGAATACTATTTTGAACTCAACACTTAATATCAAACATTTACGTTATTTTTTTCGGATAATTTATTTTACTTTTATTTTTCTTATATATTTTTTTGCATACATTGGCAGAACATTTTGAATAAAAAATTGCACACAAAACACATTTAAATAAACTTAAAATAATACAATAATATAACTGATTTTCTCGTAAAATTTCTATAATAATAGTCAACATTTGCTTATATACTGAATAAAAATATATTGATGACTGAATTTATTGACTCAATTACTTAAACATAAAAAAACTCACTGACTATTGACACATAAATAGTGTCATAAATCGATACAATAAATAAGTTTTTTTTGTTATGTTGTTTTGTAAAACAATTTTGACGCCAAAGCCATGGGATTTAAAATTTAAAACAATTTTCTTTTTGTTTTATAGCTATTGAAAAAAATATATTATAATACAAAGCTATATATATATATTAGACATCATCTGATCTATTATTATATTATTGAATATTTCTTTTTTAAAGAAAAAATTGATAAAAATTGATTTTAAATTTATATAAATATATATATATATTTAGTTTACAAATAATCAATATTTTTCATACGCTTCAAGTGAACTCTTTTTAAAAACTATTTAAATTATAAAAATATACATTTTTATAAACATTTGTTTAATACTTGTATATAATATTATATATTTAAACTGTATCTAACTTATATTTTATAAAAAATTAATATACATGTAATTTTAAAATAAAAAATATATGATATTAAAAATTTATAAAATTTAATAATATTATAGCAATTTCTATTAATAATGATAATATTCTATATTATATTATAAATAATTTTATATTAATTTTAAATGTTTTTTTAAAAGCACTAATTGTTTATATAAAGAAACTAATAATATATTGAATATTACTTAAAGAGTACTTCACTGCAAAATTTGTATAATAAAATAATTATAAATATAAATGATAATTTTTATTTTCAAATTATTATATAATTTATTACTTTAGGGCATATAATATATAATAATATATACAATATAAACTGTATAGGAAAAAGTTAATTATCTTTTTAATAGATTTAAGAAATATATTATTAAATTTTATTCAGTATATTGTTTTTAATTTAATAAGAATAATAAGTATAATCATATTGAAAATTTATTATACTAATATATAAAACTTTGAAACTAATATAGTTCATTGGTAATAACCTAATATAATATAATAGATTCATTTATTTTAATAAATTTAATAATGTTTAGACATAATGTATGTAATACTTGAAAATCATAAACACTACTGACTACACATTACAAGTGTAAGAAAAATGTAATAAATAGTCATTTTGTTAGATTTAATCATAGATTTAATATCATAGGTTTATACATAATATTTACTATACTTACAGTAAACTAATTTGTGAAATATTATATAATTTATTGAAAAGTTGAATGCCTTATATCAGACATTAAATAGTCGGGAGATTTGATGATAAAAAATGCTATTTTTAAATTTAACATTCAAAAGTTAAAATTAAATATGTATGATATGAAAAACAGGTCAAATATATATATATATATTTATTTATAAAGTCTATATTACTTTGTTTGTAACTAGCATTTTGCAATTAAAAATATTTTTGGATAGTTTACTGTTTTATATCTATTTTTATTATTTTATTTTTTACTTTGATATGACGTAAATCTATTTAAATTATTAGTTTAAAATATGATTATATTTAAAATAAAATTATTAGTTTTTTTAAAAATACAAAATATTGTTTTATATAATACATTAATATTAACATTTAATGTCTTTGATTGAACAGATATGTCAAGATGTGTGGCCAACTCCTAGTGCCGCCAAAACCTACTTTTTAGTCGTCAATCTTGGCTTTCAATATCTGTTGCCGTTGTCTATCATTGCATTCTTCTATATACTGATATTATTGAAGATAGGGCGCCGACGGCTACCCAAACTGGCCCGACATTTACCGGCCAATCTTAAAGATGGTAACCAACAGAGCAATCACGTGATCGAGAGGTCCAAAATAAAAGTATTCAAAATGTTAATCGTAATTGTAATGTTGTTTGCCCTGTCATGGCTACCCCTGTACGTGATATTTGCATTTATCAAACTCGGGCCGACTCTGGACGAGAACAGTTGGACAACACAATTGTTGACCACAGGAGCACCGATAGCTCAATGGTTGGGTGCATCCAATTCATGTGTTAATCCGATACTGTATTTCTTTTTTAACAATAAGTTTCGAAGTTTTTATAAAAATTCGTGGAAAAAGACCTTTTCGTGTCTGTCCTCTCAAAGAGACGACAAGACTATTGTGACGGCTGTTTAACAACAAATATAATCACTATTTATGTTTAATTGTCTATTAGTCTGTATATGGGTTGAGTGTATGTGTGAGTGAGTAGAGAGAGAGAGAGAGAGAGAGAGAGAGAGAGAGAGAGAGAGAGAGAGAGAGAGAGAGAGAGAGAGAGAGAGAGAGAGAGAGAGAGAGAGAGAGAGAGTTTAAATGAGTGAGTGATGACTTGTCCCTAAAGAGGTTTTTACGGCAAATTTAATGATTTAAGATAAAAATGACAACACAGACAACACAGACAATGACAAACAAAATACTAATCAAAAAACTGTTTTTTCAATGCCTTAGACACACAGTTCTGTGTAAATATGTTTAGCCATAAAAAATAAAAGAAGATATATATAATACATATAGAAAGTATTGCATTATTAATTTAATGATATAGAAAATGTATAAAAATAAATATTTTAATAACATATTGTGAATGATTACAACAGAAAACTCCAAAAATGTTTAAATTATTTAAAAATTTATATAAAACTATATAATAAATATTAAATTGCTCTCTGAATAGACTAATGGTTAATGTATGTGAAATGTAAGTCAAGCATTAAAAACAGTATAATTTGTTTTAAAAAACATAAGCATTCAATTAGTACAGTACTAACAATATATATATACATATAATATATGTATAATAAAGAATATTCTGTAATTTAATATTATATATAAGATAATATTGTTAACTTTGTTTTATAATACATTATACATTATCTTTAAAAGAAATTTGATTACTTGATAATTTAATTAAAATTGTAATTTATTTAAATTAAAAAACAAAATTTGTATATGTATTTAATTTTAATTAATTGCCCTTAAACTATTTGTGTTTTCATATAACACAATATACTGTAAATGATTAGTAAATATATTAATGTATTTAATTATCAAAGACAATATTTTTATCAATTAAATTTATATTTTTCTGTTATTATAATATAAAATATTATAATACATCATCAAATATAATATTATGTTTAAAATTATTTAATATTAAAATTTATTATTTTATAATTACTGTATATAATACCAAATATTATGTAATGTGTGTATGTATTTATGTATTATTAAAATTATATAAACTTTATTGTCTAGACATGTAAAAAATATATTAATATAATTATTTAAATAAAAGCTCAAGTTATGTGAAATATTATTAATATGTTGAAAAAAACAAATAATATCTAAATTAATTATATATTTATTTTGAATAATTGTTAAAACAAATATATGAATAATTTATAGTAGATAATTATTTCTAATCCATTTGCAAAAAATACAATATTAATTGTTTAGTTAATTTTATTATTGAATACAAATGCTTTTAAAATTTTATTATTTTTGTCATAATAATTTGATATAACTATAAATGTTATATATATATACTGTATATATAATCATATAATATACCAATGATGTGCTTGACTGATAACACGTGTATGTAATAAATAAAAACTTGACTAAATCAGTGACTAAACTAGATTATCAAATAATTTTTTATTAGTATTAGTCAATTATTGATATTATAATAATTCAATGATCAAAAATTGTCAAAAAATAAGCTACAATTGTGGGAAAAGTAATAATAAAAATAATATTGTTGTGACAACAACTAATTTTATAGTTTATAGGTTTAAATTATATATCAATCAAAAAATAAAATTATTTTTATTTCAATATAATTTCACTTTTTTTTATTTATATAAACATTTATTTAATGGACCATAAGTTATGGTCTATAACTCGTTTAACACTAATATGAATCCAATATAAAACATTTGTTACATTTATATTTATATGATTGACACATCAATAGTCAATATTTGCCAATAGTTTAGTTTGAAGGACACAATATAATTGTATAATAAATATGTGACAATCGGTCGATCAAATAAACAAACATTAATATTATAGCTCAAAATTATTGTATGATATCTAGAAAAAAACAAATAAAAAATTTCTAGAAAATTTAACTGAAATACATTTCTATAAAAATTTTATTTATTATTAGTATTAAACTATAGGAAAACTAAACAAATATTAATAAATTTACTAATAAATTATATTTAGTTGCTGTTAATATGATATTACAATATAACAAATATAAAAAACAAAAATAATTTTAATGATTCTATAAGTTAAAAGGATTTTTATTTTTAAAACATTGTAGAAATTTCCTATTATATAATAATATATATTATAACTTTAATAATAGCATATTATATAATAAAATAATCTAAATTAATTTAGACACTAGGTTATCTATTTTATTGTGTGTGTAACTTGAGTCATGTTTTTATCAAAAGTTTTATTATAATTTTACACAACAACAAAAATTATTTTGACATTTGTTTTTTAATCTGATTTTCAAAATTCAATTTTATACAGTATTTTTATTTTTTTGAAAATAAGATATAAATAAGACTTATTAAAATATTATATAATATAATCAATGTACATAATGTAATGATAAACAAATATTTAAATAATAAATATAAATTAATATAAATAAACAAAAATCAATGAAGTATTAATTTTACTAAAACTTTCTGTTTTTATTATAATAAAATAAGATATATTGTTTTATAATATTTTTATTATTGACTATTAAATTAATGTTATATTTAGATATTACACAAAATCAAAATAGACATAAGTTATGATCAGTAACTGAAATATTTTAATATTATACTTATAAAAAAAATCAATCTAATGAATACAATTTATTTTGTTATTATTTTTATAAGAAAAATTGATTTTTGCCAAACATTTGTTTCGCTAAAATATGTATTATTGAAATAATATTCATTTGTATACTTATAAATAATATACCGTAAGTTATGTTATATAACTTTTATCATTTACTATTTGATTGAAAACATTATTTTTTTTTAATACTGCTGTAATATCGATTGAAATTTTTATTTATAGTTGTTTTGTACAGTTTTCAATAATAACAAGCAATAGGAAAATAATAATAAAAATTATTATTTGTGATCATATAATGTATTATTAGACAAATCTTTAATAATGGCCCCAAAAGAAAGATTCATTGAAAATAATAAGCACTGATATAACTGTGAGCTTATGGATTAAAAAACATAAAAAAAGTTTTGCATATAATGAACAGTAAAAAACAATTTTGTTTTTTATATATATAAGTGCCTAATATTAGTCAAAATAAAAAATTTTCGTCTAATGAGAAATTTAGGTCAAAATCAAAAGTATTTTATTTTGATGCAAAAATGCAATTTATTTTCACTTAAAACACAACATATATATATATATGATATATAAGATTTGATACATTATAAAGACAACAAAAATTTTTTTAATATTTTACTCAACAATAAAAAGCAACAAAAAAACTTTCACTTTGTTTTGAGGTTTAGTTTCTGTAGGCATTTAAAATGCATTTAAAATGCATTCAAATGAGTAATTAGAAAATTTCATCACTTTTAAGTAACCGTTTGTTTTTTTAATAGTAACAAAAAAACTAATTTCTAAGTAATTATAAACAGTATGAATGTTATATTATTTTTATTTAGCTAAAATTAATTATAACTTTTTTTATAAAGTTAAATTTAGGCTAAATAGATATATAAAAAAAATTATGTTCTTAACTAATGTTTTGAAAATATAATATTATATATTATAGTTTATTTAAAATTTAATACTATAATTTATCATAGTTATTGTTAAATTATTGGTATATTACAGTGTTAAAATGATAATATAGGTAATATATTTTTTGAAAATAATATAAATAATTTTAATATTTTTACAATTTATTACCTATCATTTCCTATTAAATAAATTATTTGTCAAAATTTTTATGTCTCAATTTATAATATTAAATAAAATATATGATTATATTATATATTCAAATTGTTATCTATTTTTTAGCTGAAAGGTTTTTTTTCTGAGAAAAAATATTAATACAAAAGTTTTTTATTGAAAAATAATTTAAAATATTGTTTGCAATTCCTGACCGAATCATAAATAAAAAAATATTTTTAACCAATATATAGTAAAATATATTTTTTTATCATTAAGTTAGCGAAAAAAATAGCTTCAAGTTATTATAGCAGCAAAATATTTTTTGTGTGTTAAAAATGTTTTAACTGTTATACTATTGGCCAATATTTACCTTATATTTTATTATTTTATATGTATTATATGATATTATATAATTTATTTAATAATGCACGTATAATATGTTTTGTATTATAATAAAATATAAAGTTTTTTGAACTTTTTTTACTGTCAATTAATAATATAAAAAAAATCTCGTGTGAATTAAACGAATGTTTTATTTATTAATGTCTCTGTAAAGTAAAAGTTAAAATTTAAGTTATTTATACTAATAAATGATAAATTTGTGGTAAAGTATAATATTTTTTTAAGTATTTTATTTCATAAAATTTATAGAATATTTTTTTAATTTAATTTATTTATATCGAAATATTATACAATTATAAGATTGTCTATATATTATGATATATTATTATTTTATAAATTAATAAATTAGCAATAAATTATTTTTTATATTATTTTAATTATTTTATTTCGTTTAACTAAATTAAAATTTGATTAACTGCCATGTTTAATATAATTATGATTTCATATACACAAAAAATTTGTAACTTATTTTATTTGAAACTCCATTACAATAATAAGATATAATAAAATAAATCATTGGATAACTGCAAACAATAAGACAATCAGTTGTTATTTATTTGATTATGAGGTAATTCACACTTATATTATTGCTTTATTTTGGTTTGTTTTGTATACAGTTTGTGTGTGTGTGTGTGTGTGTGTGTGTGTGTGTGTGTGTGTGTGTGTGTGTGTGTGTGTGTGTGTGTGTGTGTGTGTGTGTGTGTTAGGGTTTGACAAACTATTAATCAATTGATTATTTAGACACCAGAAGTGTAAATCATATGAACTGTAGATATCATATACAGTAGTAGTAATAATAATAGTGAAGTAGTGGTAGTATTACTACTACTACTACTATTATTAGTATTATAGTAGTATTACTGAATCAATTGTCTAATACTATGGT